TTCTGTGACCATGTTCAAGTCTCTTTGCTTTTTTGAACCTCGATTTCCTCTCTGTAGAATACAAGGTAAGGGCTCCAGAAGAAGACCTCAGCATCAGCCAGCATCCTGCGAGGGAAGAGATTCTAGCTCAGATGGTTTGAGAGAGCTTAGTGAAGACACTACTCATGGAGGTGTGGGTAGAGTTGAGGGAGCCAGGGATATCCAGCATGCAGAGGCTAACAAGAGTGGGAAGCCATTACTACCCAAGGCCTGAATGGTAAGGGAGAAGAATAATGTTCTGGGTGGCCACTAAGAGCCTGGGGAAGGGCCACTTCCAGGAGCTGTAGTCTGGGAGGGGCACAGCCCTTGCCAGAAATGTGTGCCGAAGCAGGGAGGGAGCCAGAAGAATACCCTGGCCTCTTTTTTTCCTGTCCTATGCTTTGCTGCAGGCCACTCTAAGTTGCACAGTGCAAGGGTCAACCTCGGCAGCACAGGCTGGGAAGGGAATCGTTGAGAATGGATCTGGGAGAGGGTGGGCAGATGGCGAAGAAACAGTGCAACCTCTAAGGCCCCCCGTCATCTGACCATTGTATAACCTGAGAAACTGTCACTTTCCCTTCCTGCAGCAATTCTTATNATAGTGTTCTGGGTGGCCACTAAGAGCCTGGGGAAGGGCCACTTCCAGGAGCTGTAGTCTGGGAGGGGCACAGCCCTTGCCAGAAATGTGTGCCGAAGCAGGGAGGGAGCCAGAAGAATACCCTGGCCTCTTTTTTTCCTGTCCTATGCTTTGCTGCAGGCCACTCTAAGTTGCACAGTGCAAGGGTCAACCTCGGCAGCACAAGCTGGGAAGGGAATCATTGAGAATGGATCTGGGAGAGGGTGGGCAGATGGCGAAGAAACAGTGCAACCTCTAAGGCCCCCTGTCATCTGACCATTGTATAACCTGAGAAACTGTCACTTTCCCTTCCTGCAGCAATTCTTATATTCCAGCCACACTGCATGACAGGGCATGTTTGGGGAGCTAAAAGATACTTAACATCTCTGCCTAGAATGCTGGAAAATCAAGGGGTAAATGATGAGCTCCTCCAGAGGCTAACTCAGGGTTATATGTCCCAATGTGTGTCTTATTGTCTGTTTTTTCTCTAGACTGTTAACTCAGTGAGGGCAGGCATCATGTCTGCAGTATCCACATCTCCTAGTGCATGGCCTGGCCCACGGCAGGCTCTCAATAACTATTCATTGAATGAATGAATAAATGAATGAGTGGTTATGTCTCTGTCCCTTTCCTGCCTCTGGCCCCAGACAGAATTAATTGCTCCCTTGTCTGTGCTGCCTCCACACCCTGTCTGTACATTCTCACTTCCCTTGTAATGCTGTATTGTAACTGCCATGACTGTGAGCTCTTCAGGCTGGGGAGCTCATTTCAGGCAACCCAATATCCCCAGTGCCATGGAGCCTAGCAGAGACTGGGTGCTCATTACATGTTTCTGGAATTGACTCTGCAAATGTTTATTGAGTGAGCCTGGGCCCTGCGGAGGAGCTGAGCCCCATCCATTTCTCTGGCTTATCTCCCCTAGGCATGTCCTCACTGGCTGGTTGGAAATTCCATTTCTTGCATCTTGATAGGTTAGTACTTGGCAAACTGACCTGAGCATTCAAATAAATAATTTCCTGGAGTTTTGATGTGCTTCTGGGTATTGCTGGCTGGTTTTTAGGGAATGCAGTAAGGAGGTTGAGTACAGCTTATGGGGAAAGGAGTTAAAGAGAGGAGAGCACTGGTTGCTGATATCCCTTTTCAAGTGGGGTGATATGACTGGCAAGTGCAAAGCCCTGGTTGTGTGCTGAGCCCTGTGCTCTGTGCTTGGCACTGGGGGCACAGAGGTGAAGAAAGATGTGCTAGGCTGCATGGGACTTTCATTTGAATGGGGGAAGATATTACTCTGTATTATAACTGTCTTTTTATTACTACTGGGAATTTACCAATTTATCCCATAGACATACCTGTACTATACCTGTATGTATCTTCATTATAACGGATACACACTTTGCATTTTCATTCCATGGGGAAAGAATAAGGAAGTTCTCTATATAGTGACGTGGAAGGATCTCCAAGATAGAGTATAAAGTGACCAGAGCAAGGAGAAAAGTAAGTATGTAGTATGCTCTTATTATGTTAGAAAAGGGGAAAGTGAAAATACATATTTTTGTTTGCCTGAAGTGACTCTAGAAGAATACACAAGAAACTAATAAAAGTGGTTACCTGTTGGGGTGGGGAGGCATGCTGCAGGGGACAGGGTTGGAAGCCAGATTTTCAGTTTACCATTTTGTGTTGTTTCAATTTTTGAAACATGTAGAAAAATTACTTGCTTACCTTCAAAGTGATATGATAGGGGAAGAAAAGGATGCCCATAGGAGGAGCACATGACCCAGTGTGAAGACAGGGAGGCCTCCCTGGAGGAGGTGATGTACAATCAGTTGAAGTCGGTGAGGGTTGGGGAGCAAAGAAGAGCTTAACGTGGGAAGCTCTTAACATGGGAGAGTGTGGGGGATTTAAGGAACCGAAAGAAGCGCATTGTGGCTGGGCAGAAACCTTAAGGTTTGGGGTTATGGTAGGAAAAGAGGGACTGCCATATATCAAGCCTGACTTTATTTTTATTTTTTGATTTTTAATTTATTTTTTATTGAGGCATAATTGATTATACATATTTGTGGAGCACAAAGTTGACGATCAGTGGTTGTGTACAGTATGTGATGGTCAGATCAGGATAGTTAGCTTGTTGTCATTACAATACGTAATCCTTCTTTGTGTCTGTTAACCAGTTTGAGGCTGACTTTAGGTTTTAGCAACAGCAGTGGCAAAGTTGACGATCAGTGGTTGTGTACAGTATGTGATGGTCAGATCAGGATAGTTAGCTTGTTTGTCATTACAATACGTAATCCTTCTTTGTGTCTGTTAACCAGTTTGAGGCTGACTTTAGGTTTTAGCAACAGCAGTGGACTGCATGTGCCATGGCTTCCCATGCACCAGGAACCTTACTAAGCCCGCCACATACAATCTCTTATCCATTCCTCACAAGAACTATGCGTTATCATTCCCACTCTCTGGGCAGAAACAGAAGCTCGGTGAGTTTACGTGACTTTCCAGGGTTGTGCCTCCAGTGATCGGCAGACAGTGATCCAGGCCACCTGCTCCTGTCTGTTGTCATCTGTGAAATGAGCATGCTCACCTCACTGATGACACAAAATGCATGTGTAGCACCTGGCTCAGGGACTGACAACTTGCAGGGACTCAGCTGATCTGGTAACTGGTTGCTCCCCACATCTGGGAAGACCATTTGGCCCACTCCATACAGCCTGCTGGGAAGGGCGGAGTCTGAGAGAAAATAGAACTCAGCACCCAAAATTCCTTACCAAGAGATTGAAATAATGATTCTAAAGTCACAGGTGGAGGGAATCTTATTAAACCTAGATCTTCTAACTATAAGATACCCAAACTCCTCTTCTTTGTGGCCTGGGGAAGTTCGTTTAACAAAGGTGAGGCTGAGCAGAGTCACAGTGAGCACCAGCTCCCTGTCAAGCACTCTGCAGCCAACGTCACCTACATGACCATGGTCATGCTACACTACAGCTGTAGTGTCCTTTTACAGACAAGGAAACTGAAACTAAAGGGGGTTAACTGGTTTGCCCAAGTTCATAGAGGTTTAAGCCTGGAACCAGGACTTGAACCCTAATTTCTGATGTATGATGGAGCTTTGTGTGCTCTAATAGATACCCAGATGATTAGGATACAGTATGAAGAGAGCTATGATTCAGCCTGAATCTGTGGCTCAGTGAACACACAGAGGAGGCGCCCAGAACTTTCTAGAAGGATGACAGGGTGACCCTTGATTGAAGTCCTAAAGAATAAGAAGCTGTTGTTCAGGTGGAGAGGAGAAGGAAGGGTGCTCCAGGTAGAAGGACCAGCACTAACAAAGCTACAGAGGGAACAGGGCCTGTGGCTCATTTAGAAAGTGTGAGGTCTAGGGTGGTGGTAGGAGAGAGTATAGGGAACAGCTGGAGCAGGGAAGGCAGGCAAGTAGCAATTGGACCCAATTTAAAACATGCAAAAAATGGTATCTTTTCCCTTAGTGAGTCCACTGTCTCCCCCTAATCAATAAATGAGGAGAGAGAAGCCACTGAAAAGTGTTTTCTTGTTTTAACCAGGCTTGCCACAAAAGGACCCAGATGGCCTGTGGCTTAGGGAGGATCATGTGTCGGGCCTGGAAGATCTCCAAAGAGGGGTCTTCCGAGGAGCCGCAGAGCATGGCCAGCGCTGCTCCTCACTTCTGTCTGGTCATTTGCTTTCTCATTTGTTCTGTGTCCAGTCGCTGTCCCCACACCTCATCAATCTCCTAGGGCTCACGGAGGAAGGCCAACCTCGCTGCCGTGGAGACCCCCAGTGCCTGGCGCTGACATCGGAGAGCTGGACTCCATCTGTCCTGATGATCTGGGGATAGATAAGGGCCATTAACGCCTTGCTTAATTATGGGACCCCAAAGCAGGCCTAGTAGTTACAGACCAGCAGAGCTGGAGATCCAGGCTTCATCTGATTTTATTTATTTTATTTAAATGAATTAATATACGAAAGCCCTTGGAACAGTTCCTGGCACACAGCAAGTGCTGTAGAACTGATTGCTATTCTTGTTATCAGTGCTGTCATATTTACAGGTAGAGACACAGAGGCCTGGTGAGGACTGGGGACCTGCCCAGTTACACAGCAAGTGACAGGCTGAAATGGGACTGGGTCCAGACCAGGATGCTTTCCAAGGAATCTCACTGCACTGGGGCAGGATCCACCGGCTTTCTTTACACCTAGCCACTGACGTTTTGAGCCCTGACCTAGGGTCAGTTCTAAGGAAAGGCACAACAGGAGGCTTCTTATCTGAGGGGATGAGTGACAAAGGCTGTCCTTCTTCATGAAAAAGTCTGCTTGATCTTATCCCCAGACAGCCCCGTACTACAGGTGCCTCCATTTCCTGATGGGCAAATTGAGTGTGTACATACCATGCCTAGAGGCCTGGTCTTAGAAGACGGTCAATAATATTTAACTTGTGCAGTCCCCTGGGTGGGCACAAGCTTCTGATTAATGGAGATGTCACAGTGAAATTTATCCCCCACCCAATGCTGGCCTTTTCCCCTTCCAGAGTGAGAAATGAGAAATGATGACCAGGAGAGTGAGAGAAACACCAGCTGGGGGGTGGGGGGGTGTCCCCAGAGGGTCAGGGCCAGAGGATGGATGGTGAGTGGCCCACTATTGGGGGTGACGAGAGTGCCCGGGGCACCCATTAGTCTTATCCTGGGACATTTGGGGTAAACTCGTACCTGCTCCTGACTCTGTGAAGCATCTGCACTATCTGCTGCTGAGAAGAATGTCTAAATAGAATCCAGCAGGCTGATTGAGTGGGTTTCTGTGCCAGTCCGGGAAAGGTGGGTGGCGGGCCTGGGCCACGAGGCCGTCTTCAGCCGGAAGAAGTAAAAATCAAGAAGATGCTTGTTTAGGGAGTAGCTACCAAGACCTGTGGTGCTAGGCTCAGCATCCTTTCTGGAATTTACCAGGGGAAGCAGTTACAAAAGAGTGTACCATAGTGCACCAGTTAAGGGCCTGTCTCTGGAGCCAGGGTGCAAATCCTAGCCCCCACCTCCTTCCTTTCCTTATCTGTAAGTGGGATAATGTTGCTGTTGCTTGCCTCATAGAGTTGATGTGCAGATTGAGAGTTAATATACATGGAGTACTCAGAACAGAGTCCCGCACAAGGTGAGCCATATGTAAATGTTGCTATTGTTATTGCTATTATTTATACCTGCTGTGTGTCAGATGCTTGCAGGCACCAGTCTCTTATTAAATCCTCACAACCGATTCTCCTTACAGTGTGTAAGTAGAGCTGAGACGTGAACCTCGATTATTTAGCTTCAAAGACTGCATTTCCCCCTGGGCCAAGATGACTCCAAAACTCTTTCAGTGCTTATCTGAAATCTCTCTTCCTTGAAATATCCCCCCACTCTTCCCTATTGGATGAGAGCATGGAGATATTAATGATATACTTTATGGGCATCCAGTGTGCTATGACAAAGCACAAACTCATCCACCCCCTGTTGAAGGATGGCATTCTCTGCCATATAAAATGATCCCATGAACACTACCTGCTGGGTCAGGCTTCTTGGTTTATTTCCTGTCTTGTTCTTGCCAATCATAGAAATGCAGAGGCCTGGAGCTGCAGAGGCCTGGAGGTGCAGAGGCCTAGAACTGTAGTGGCCTAGAGCTATAGAGCCCTAGAGATGCAGAGGCCTGGATGTGCAGAGGCCTGAGGTGCAGAGGCCTGGAGGTGCAGAGGCCTAGAGCTGCAGAGGCCTAGAGCTGCAGAGGCTTAGAGCTGCAGGGGCGCAGAGCTGCAGAGGCCTAGAACTGCAGAAGCCTAGAACTGTAGAGGCCTAGAACTGTAGTGGCCTAGAACTGTACTGGCCTAGAGCTATAGAGCCCTAGAGATGCAGAGGGCTGGAGGTGTAGAGGCCTAGAGGTGCAGAGGCCTAGAGCTGCAGGGGCCTAGAGGTGCAGGGACCTGGAGCTGCAGAGGCCTGGAGCTGCAGAGGCCTGGAGCTGCAGAGGCCTGGAGCTGCAGAGGCCTGGAGCTGCAGAGGCCTAGAGGTGCAGAGGCCTAAAGGTGCAGGGGCCTTGACCTATAGAAGCCTAGATGTGTAGAGGCCTAGAGGTGCAGGGACCTGGAGCTGCAGAGGCCTGGAGCTGCAGAGGCCTGGAGCTGCAGAGGCCTGGAGCTATAGAGCCTAGAGATGCAGAGGCCTGGAGGTGCAGAGGCCTAGAGCTGCAGAGGCCTAGAGGTGCAGAGGCCTAAAGGTGCAGGGGCCTTGACCTATAGAAGCCTAGATGTGTAGAGGCCTAGAGGTGCAGAGGCCTAGAGGTGCAGAGACCTAGAGCTGCAGAGGCCTAGAGGTGCAGCGGCCTAGAGCCTCTGGGATAAAGCTGTGTCCTGGCATGGAATGATGAGAACCCTGTGACCGGAGCTACAGGCAGCTCAAACCCTGACACCAGAACTGGTGATGGCCCAGATAACCAAGTGCCCAGCTCAGGGCCTGGCACACCAAGGTACTTATAATGGAAGAATCAGTGAGTAAAACTGACTTAGGCCCTGGTTTTGAGGTCCCCTGATAGTAGCCCCAGGCATGTTTCTTCTCTCAGTGACAACACTGATCCCACTTCATGGCTGGCCTCCCCTCCTCTGATTGTGAGCACAAGGGCTGGCCTCGTGTCTTGTTTCAGTATTTTCAGAAACCAGCATAGTATCTAGCACATAGTAGGTGCTCAATAAATATTGAAGGCATGAGTGAGTGACTGGGTCCTACATTTTATTCACCCATGACTGCAAACTTGAGCAAAACCAGGTCACAAAGCCCACTTTTGTGATTTCTACCTTGGTTATATAATGCCAGGCAGCATAAGGAGAGTATTATAGGAAGAGCAAGCTGGGAGTTGTTTGCAGACCTGTCAGCAAGCACTGGCTACAGATACCACTTGTGGAAGCTGGGCCAACTCTTCAGAAGACAGAACAAAAACACACTGGCCTGGAACCATAATTTTTTTCTTGCTCAACTTACTCTATTCACCCAGAATTGGTTCATTTCTTAAGTGGCCAGTAAGGTCCTTCCTTATTGGAGAAGGAATGTGTTAATAGGGGCCCATTCAAGGTTAAGCAGAGCAAATGTTTCTGGCAGGTTTCCTCATTTTACAGAAGAGGACATTAAGTGTCAGAGTTAAGTGAATTGCTCAAGGCTGCACGGCTAATCAGTAATTGTACTTCTAGCTATGGTTAATTGAACACTTAGTGTATAATAGCCACTAATATAAGTGCTTTGCATATATTATCATATTTAATCTTGGCTACAACAACCTTATTGGGTTTTATTATCCCCACTTGACAGAGGTAGAAACTGAGCCTCAGAGAGATTAAGTAACTTGCCCCATGCTACCTCATTAGATATCGGTGGAGCTGGGACTCATGTCCAAATCTGGCAGACTTGGGAGCCCCTGCTGAAGTGGTTCTCAGCCAGCAGAACATACACATTGGAAATGCCTGTGATGCTTTAAAAAAATACTCATGGCAGAGTTCTACCCCAGACCTGCTGAATCAGAACCTCTGTATTCTAAAAAGCTCCGTAAGTGATCCTGTTTGCCTCTTTGCTTGAGAACCTCAGCATAAAGTACTCACTCTCTCTGAGCCCCAGGTTTTCTTATCTTGTAAAGAGTTGCTGGGATCCAGCACTCTTTGCAAAGATGGAAAAGAGCTTATGCACGTGAAAGGCCCAGCACAATGCCCATGTGCAGGGGTGCTCAGTAATTTCTGACTTCCTTGTTCCAGCAACCAAGGAGCGCCTGGAGGGCTTTGGGTCTCTTCTGAGTGTACATGACCCCACTTTGCCAAAGACCCAGAACACTGTTTTCTGGGCTTTGGGGTTCAGTTTCCCTATTGTTTGTTATTATTCTTAATAGAATTCAGGAGAAGGCCACAAGTGGGCCAGACATCTGTGATAAATATGCTGGGGTTTTTACAGGAAAGACTTCCCCAGTTCACTGTATTCTATATTTTTTGCTTTTCTTTCCAGCTACAACATAGCCAGAAAATATCTTGCTTGAACCAAAAGAAAATAGCCTGTTTGCATCTGGTGAAAGTCGACTTAGGAATGAGCGTTGTATTATAGAGCAGAGCATGCGGGCATTTGGAGCCCTTTTCCTAGAACACCCATCTGAAAGAGAAAGGGAATATTTATTCCATATTCCAGTTCCTGCATGTTGGGAAAACAGAATAATTTAATCAGGCCCCCTCGCCTTGGGGCAGGTTGGGGGTGGTGCAGCATTCTTTGTGGGCAGGTTGTGTGTGGGTGGAGTTAGTACACTTGCATGGCACTGCCACTTTGGCTGGCGTTTACTGCCTTGGGCAGCCACCGCCACATGAGAAGCCGTGCTTTCCAACCTATGGCTTCCAAGCACCTGTTTGCTGGTTACGTAGCTCATAGACCTGTGTGTAAGGGGTCTGGTGATCCGGTGTGGTGTGTGAGGGGTCTGGGGACTCAGCCTGGCGTGTGAAGGGTCTGAGGACCCAGCCTGGTGTGTGAAAGGTTTGTGACCCAGTGTGTGAAAGGGCTTGAGGGGTCCGTGAACTCCAGACCCAGCCCTAGCCCAACAATTGGCCCAGTTGGTGCAGGATTACAGGCAGGTAAGAGAGCTCCATAATTGGCGATGTTGGCAGGATTCAGACATTAGCTATAGGATGACAATTGGCATAGTTGGCAGGATTCTGAGCAGGTACAGGAGCTAAAAGCCCTTGGAAGAAGGAGGAAATGTGGCTACTTGTGAATATGCTCTGCCCTATGGCCACTTTCCTGTTGACCAGGATCTGGTTGCTGCACACTGTACTGCAAGGCAGCATAGACCAGGTA